GGAAGCCGGATTCCTGCCATCTACGCCGATGGTACAAGATTGTCCTATATGGAGCTAGTAGATGCTGGTCGTTCCTAAACCCGGAGTCGGCGACAAGGAAGGTACCATTCGGGATGACCAACGATTGGGTAAGGGCGTGCTGGAAAATCGTGGAATCATGGGTTGAACCCTCACAGTCGACCATGAGGTATATAAATTCGCCCGTGAATGACACTGCCGCGAGCACGTTCTGCGATACCTTTTTGTGACGGTCCAGAAAAGACTGTTGCTCGCTCTCTCTAATGCACGCTGGGATAAGGGTCCCATCTATGGTGCCTATGGCTCCTCCGAAGTGCCTGTACCAGGGGTTACTATCTAAAAGTGTCTCATCGCTGCCAGAAGGGAATGCAATGTTTTCGTCGTACAACGAGCAAACGACCCAGGCCACGGTCCGGATGGTATGACTTATCGTGCTAACGCTCCACTGCCAAGTCTCCTGCGGAGAGTCACTCTACAACGGTAGTGAGCTAGACTACGGGGGTTGGCACGAACTGCTAGGAGTGATCGTAGCTTTGCTTGGTTCCTTAGTGCTTGCACATTCACTAGAGAAATTGGCAAGAGTTTCCACTAGACAAAGTCGAAATTACAGAATGGTTCAACAAGCAATGACTGCAATGACTACATCAAGCACCTAGCAACCCTGCAGCTAGCCTGGTCGACCGCCAGCACAGCATGGTCGACCGCCTGCCAGCGTTGCGTAGAGGAGCCGTGCCAGCACTGCAGAAGCGCGACCTGCCAACGCAGCAGGTCGACGGCGTGCCAGCGCTGCAGCAGAGCGGCTGTCCAGCGTTGCACCCGTAGAGTATAGCAGTGCGCACGCTCGCAGGAGCGCGCAGACGATTGGCCCGACTTGCCTCGTTGGGCATCCGTCGGCTGTTGTCTGCGCCTGATGAGCCACATCGACTTTGGGATACCAGCCCAAAGTTGCCTTCGCCATCGCGACCTCGACGACGTTCGCGTGCCTCCGCAGAACTCGTCGAGCAGGTTACCCGGTCGACCCGGTCGACCATCAGGTGCTTCCGGTCGACCACCACTGCTTCTGGTCGACCACCAGGTCCCTCTGGTCGACCACCAGGCGCCCCTGGTCGACCACAGCTCCCGTCAAGCTACCCTCTGGTCGACGGAAGGGGTCCGTCGACCAGAACCGTCAGCGGTTGTCGCCGAGCTCCCCTCGTCGACCGCTGCTCACTTGTCAGGTCGACGGGCTGCTCGTCGACCTCCCGGTCGAACTGCAGGTCGATGGGCTGCTCCCGGTCGAGCTGCAGGTCGACGGAGACCCCCTGGTCGAGCTGCAGGTCGACGGAGACCTCCCGGTCGAGCTGCAGGTCGACGGAGGCCTCCCGGTCGAACTGCCCCTCGTGGTCGACGGCCCACCCGTCGCCCAGACCAGTCAGTTGCAGCTGTCGAGCTCCCTGGTCGACAGCAGCACCACAGCGGTCCCCTGCAGCTCGACGATGCCTGTCGAGCAGCTCTCCCACTGTGAACGGTCGGCTGCTACTCCCGTACATCCTACCAAGTCGTCGGCGTTGCCCAAGCGAGGACGGGGCCAACATCCCATTCCCGTTAACATCTCCTGCATCACCCTGTTGGATGCTGATTGTCCTAGAAATTGAAAAAATGTTAGTAGCTGTGTGGCCGGTGTCTGGCTGCGCATTTCAATGAGTAGGTCGCGACTCACGAGAAGGTACAAAAGGCGGGTGACGAGGTAGGGCTCCATGCGCATCACCACATGCGCCCTTTAGGATGTCCTTGAAGTAAGTGATCAGCATACGTCGGACCGCCTCTTGACAAGTCGTGTTTATCGGCTTTGGTGTAGACGATGACACACCGGGAAACGCGCTGCAGCATGGTGACGGCCCACAAGTGGCCGAAGACATCTCCAATTATATGCAATAATTACTTAGCAGATTCTTTGTGGTTCTGTCTAGAAACTCTACTAGTAGCTATAAGGGGGTCGAAAGGTAGCCTCGAGTCCTTTCGGTAAACCCTAAAGGAGTTTGAGGAGTGTGAGTTGTGTCTGGGCATGAGCACGAGGTGGCAAGGATTGTGTTTGAGCGGGGTGAGTTTTACTTGCGTTTTTTACCCACGTTGGCCATTTTTTGGTCAGCGGGCAGCATAAGGGTCAGTGAGGCTAAAGTTTCGCGCCATTGGGGGGAAGGTACATATGGACCTTCCCGACGCGGTTGAGTAATTTTGCCTTTCGGGCGCGCGAAGTTTCTCGAGCGGCATTACGCCCAAACCTCGGAGGAGGGTTCCGCCCCCGTTTCCAGATGCGGTCGCGATGCCGATGCCATCGTTTTCTGTTCAAGAAACGATTTGCTGGCGAACAGCACCCTTGTGATGTGGCGAAGAACAACGAGATGAAGACGAACGCAACTATGGTTGCGCGCATGACATGCGCATGGAACCAGGCCTGTCGATTCAAGGGCATATGCCCTTAATGCCCTGAACATTCAGGGCTACTTTCGCTCCAGCTCGAATGCCAAAAGTGTTAGATTCGCACTGCACCCGTGCCACTAAGTGCCTCGCTCGACCCTTCCCCGGATGCGTTAAGGGCCCAAACCAGGCCTTCCCATGTCTCGAAGTTTTGGTTTCTGGTTGTAGTACCCCCCCCCCCCCCCCCCCCCCTCAAATTCTGCCTGACCCCACCCCCCCTTTCTCCTTAGGTTGCACGAGGAGTGGATTTTTCCTTTAGCGTTTTCTACCCAATCCTGTGTTTGTAAAGTGTCTACGCCAGCTTGGAGCACCCGAATTTCCCCTTAGCGTCTGAGTGCCCCCCCCCCCCCCCCCTTTCTCCTTAGGTTGCACGAGAGGAGTGGATTTTTCCCTTAACGTTTTCTAGCCATCCTGTGTTTGTAAAGTGTTTAAGTCAGCTTGGAGCACCCGAATTTTCCCTTAGCGTCTTTAAGTGCCCCCCCCCCCCCTTCTTTCTTCTTAGGTTGCACGAGAGGAGTAGATTTTTCCCTTAGCGTTTTCTAGCCATCCCGTGTTTGTAAAGTGATTAAGTCAGCTTTGGAGCACCCAAACTTTCCCTTAGCGTCTAAGTGTAAGGCCCGGATTTTAAGTTTTCACTTTGGGGTGCGCCCGTGATTTTAAGTTTTCACTTTGGGTCACGCTTGGTTCCCTGTATGCTCTGCCTTCGTCGCACTTGGTGGTGTGTTTCGCACGAAAGCAGTTCGGTAGTCGTGCATCTGCCCTGCCCAGCCTGTTGGGGCTGCAGCCAATCGCAAGTGCTCCCAACCAAACCCAACAAAGTTGCGACTGCTTGACTGGTTACCCGGTTTCAAGCGTATTACACTTGGTTGGGAGTTGTGAAATATGAGACGCGGGCTTTAAGGGCGCCCAAACGCTCAGCTACACCAAAAACAGGGTCAGATGGGGAGGAGCTGGGGAGCGCAAGTATGGGTCCCAGGAACTTCGACAGGCCTGCATGGAACCCTGTGATGTGGCGAAGAACAACGAAATGAAGGCGAAAGCAGCCACGTGGAATACGACTTCCGTTTGGTAACGTGCTACAACCAACAATGCATACAGACAGCTTCTCTGCAAAACTCGATTTTCCGCCACCCACCAAAGGCCACATCAGCGTGACGTGATATAGTGCCAACCTACCAGAGTTCCTACACATGGCGCGGCAATATCAGCCCACCAAACCAACAGACGCCAGGCGTCTGGTGGTTTGGTGGATTCGATCCGACGAGAGCCAGGAATGCGCCCCTACATCCATGACTCCGTAGCCCAACCGCTGGAATTTCTGTTTCGAGAAGCAGAAACGTCTTCCTGCATTGGGATTGCTCTTTGCTGCTAGCGTTCGCGATTTTGTGTAGATATAACGGTTAGGGTTCCACACGTAGGAAGCGGCTAGCATGCTTCAGTCGTTTAAGACGTATGTAAGAGGTCGGGGGACAGCTTCGCACAATGCAGCAGCAGTCGAGGCAATCGCCGCTTGGGGAGAAGCGGGCGCTGTGGAAAGCCCGCATCAGCTATCAGGCGTCGCGAATCCAACGGCTCTTGTTCGTCGTGACCGGAACGAAGAGATTGTGCAAGCGAACTTGTCACATTTCGCGGAGCCGCTGCCGCTGTTATCAGACGTGGCTGCGCAGGAACAGCAGGCACTATTCATCCGAAAGCTTCGCCTCTGCAGTTACTTCTTTGAGTTTAACGACCCAATGAAAAACGTGAAGGAGAAGGAGATTAAGCGGCAAACGCTGATCGAGCTAGTCGACTACGTGAGATCTGGAACCGGGAATTTCAACGAGACGATACTATTAGAACGCATCACGCGCATGTTGGAGATTAATCTCTTTAGGCCGTTACCGCCGTCCGCGCACTCGAAATTCGGGGCCACAGAATCATTCGACCTGGTGGAAGAGCCAACTATAGAAGCCGCGTGGCCGCACCTGCAAGTAGTCTACGAGTTCCTGCTTTGGTATGTCGACTCTAACGAGACCAACACGAACGAGGCGAAGCTTTACATCAACCAGAAGTTCATTTCAAAGCTGCTGAACCTGTTCGACTCGGAGGACCCTCGCGAGCGTGGCTATTTGAAGACTATCATGCATTTGATTTACTTGAGATTCATGGTTCATCGGTTGTTCATCCGCGAAGAGATTAACAATATCCTTTACCAGTTTATCGAGTCGGAGCGGCATAACGGCATCGCGGAGCTGTTGGATATTCTGGGGGGTTTTATAAACGGATTTGTGTTGCCGCTAAAGGAGGAGCGTATACAAACAATAGACCGAGCGCTTGTTCCGCTCCACAAGCTTGAGTGGGTGTGGATGTATCACCAGCAGCTGTCGTACTGCATCACTCAGTTTGTGAAAAAAGACCCGAAGCTCGCGGAGTTGGTGCTGCTCGGGCTGCTTAAGTTCTGGCCGTTGACTAACAGCCATAATGAGGTTCTGTTCCTTGAAGAGTTGGAGAAGATTCTGGAGTTGACGCAGGCGCCGGAGTTTCAGATGGTGATGACGCCGCTGTTCCAGCAGATCACTCTCTGCCTCAGCTCCTCGCACTTCCAGGTACGGTGGTATGGTGTCAGGGTGTGATGCCGTTCATGGGGATGTGATATGGTGGCGGGTTTGAGAGGGTGGCGAGGTGTGAGGAGGTGTGAGTGGGTGTCATGATGGCATGCATTTTCATTCAGAAGCCACTGGCCACGATGGTCATGATGCCGCTGTTCCAGCAGATCACGATGTCACAGCTCCTCGCACAACGCTCCCGGCCAATTACTACAGGTATGTGATGATGTGTAATATGTGTGATGGGGTGCAACGCATTCTTGCTAAGAACACGAGCTGTCAAATAGTCGTGACGCTGCTGTTCCGGCAGAGGGCATTGTGACAGGGAGCGAAGGTGCGTGAGATGGTGATGGAGTGTGAGGAGGTGTAGCGGGGGCGGGGGGTGTGATGGAGTGGGACACATAGCACAAGCTTGCAATGGGAGCATGATGCCGCTCTGCCGGCGTGCAATGCCTACAACGCTCTCGCCATTATTTCCCTCCCTTGAAACTTACGGAAGGTTATTCTAGTAAAATACGCTAGCATTGTATGGAATGGCATTCCAAGTTGGAGCAGCTAAAGCATTCTCAGAAACAAACCGACAGCGACCAGAGTTGGGAAAAAGTGACCGTTTTTTACTATCTTTTATGGGTGCGACAATAGGCATTGGCCGACGTGTTGTGTGACACCCTACCTTAGGCCCCACCCCACCCACCTTTGTCACATTTCACATTCCATGGCGTCACCCACCCCTCCAGCCTCCCCCTCCTCCGCCCTGTTCCTCTTTCCCCCCATGCAGGTGACGAAGCGCACACCGCTTCGATGGAACAATGACTGCATTGCATTGTGACACTCTTGACACTCTTGGCGCGGAACTATACCCCCCCCCCCCAAACCCCATTTCCCTCCTCTCCCCCGTCCCCCCCCCCCTCCCCATGCAGGTGGCGGCGGAGCGCAGGCTGCTTTGTCCTGCTTGTGGCACCAAACGAATATGCCTCTCCTTTCACTCTTTCCCTCCCCCAACCACCACCTCTCCCTTCTACATTGTGGCGCTCGTGGCTCAGAACCGTTACGTCTGTTGCTCACACACCACACCATGCCCCACATATCTACTCTATCCTCCTCCCCCGTCAGGTGGCGGAGCGCACACTGCGCCTGTGGGACAACGACTACATCGTGGCGCTCGTGACTCAGAACCACGCCACCATCCTGCCGCTCATCTTCCCCGCGCTCGAGCGCAACGCCGAAAGCCACCAGAACCAGGTATGCCCTGTGTTGTGCCTGGATTGCTTCTGAACTGTCGCTGTGGATGTAGCATAGCACAGACGGCCTAGGGCTGTAGCACGGACTGAAGCCACTGGAACCGCGGAGAGTGTGGCCAGTGAGCCTGGTGTAGTGCTGATTGCGTCTGTACGGTAACGAGCGGTGGACCGAGGGCTGGAGGCTAGAGTTGAGCAACAGGCCCGGCCCGGCCCGACCCGACCCGATTTGGCCGGGCCACACGGGCTCTCGGGTCGGGTCGGGTCGGGCCGGTCTCGGGTCAGATTCTGCTAGGGTTTCGGCTCCCACCATGTCGAAATCGGGTCGCGCGCCTGGCCCGACCCGATTTCGACATTTCAGGCCTGAATTTGGGTCGGGCCAGGCCCGGCCCGTAACCCGACTTGACCCGGCCCGAAACGCGCTCTCGGGTCGGGTTCCTGCCCGGGTCGGGTCGGGTCGGGTCGGGTCGGGTCGGGTCGGGTCGGGTCGGTCCGTACGGGGCAGGACTTCGGATACCTTGAATTGACCCGACCCAGGCAAAACCACAAGTCGGGTTGGGTCAGCCCATCCCGAGTGGGGCATATGCTCAACTCTAGCTGTAGCACAAGCTACAGCACATGCTCTAGCACGGACTGTAGCACAGGCTGTAGCACCGAGTGTGGGCAGTAAGCCTGGTGTAGTGCTTATCTGAACTGTAACGAGGGCAATTGCAGGTGCAGCGTGTGTAGGCCTTGGCTGTTTGCACAGGCTGTAGCACATGTAACAACTGGAATCATGTCGAGTGCAGTGATCCCATTCTAGTGACCAGCTTGCCTCTGAAACGCGCAACGGCGGAAGTGAAGCACGGCAGAGTGGTTCTTGCACCTGCATGTATAGTATGGGGTGGGCTACAGACCCTTACCCTAAACAGAGTGGAATCAAGCCACTGGAACCAGACAGGGTGGCAGCTGCTGTGGGAATGAACAGAGGAGTCAAGTATTGATACCACACTGGCTCTCCTACTCGATTCGACTTGATGTGTTGAGGTTGATGCATTGCTGTACCGTTCAGTCGAGGGCAAGTCAGTGAGTTTCTTGAATCTGTTGAAGTTGCGAGTACTTGAGCTGACAAGCAAAACTGGCTCCGATAACTCGTCAATCTCCTTTGTTTAATTCTCAGGGAAGGGATATTTTCCATGTTGTTTTCACCAATACACCCAAGTATGGCCCATTGCTTGTCGCTATCCTAACTCCAATTGTGGGTGTTTTTGTTTTGCTTTTGTCTGTTGTTGTTGTTGCTGTTGCTGTTTTTTTTTTTTTTTTTTTTTTTTTTTTTTTGTTACTTCACCTGGACGGCCAAGGTTACGAGACCTAAAAAACGTCATTTCCCAACCAAGATTCCTTGCATTTCCTCAACATGCTTGTGCACTTTTAGTTCCATCCCCTGAGGTTTCTGAAGCTTCCTTGGCCTGTGCCTACCACGTTCTTCACCACTTAATCATCTTGCCACCAACATGGCTATTAACGTGTAAGCTCAATAAGAGCTTGTGCATGCTTGACCTTCTCTACTCTAACTTGACCCTTTCCAGTTGCGTCTCCCACATGTCCCCAGTACTTCTCCCTCCTCCCTCCCTTTTCTCGCCCTCAAAATCCCCACCTATTCCCCGTCCATCCTCTCCCGCTCTGCTGCTCACCCGCTCCTCTATCTCCTCCCCCCCCCATCCCCCCCCCCCCCCTCTCCCCTTCTACTCTTCTTCATCTTCCCCTCCCTCGTCTCCACTTAATGCGCTTACAATGAGCGGAGAGAGATGTTTCTGGACATGGACAAATGGCTACAGATGTTTATGTTGAGTGCTGTGGCCACTCGTCATGTCCAGAAACAAGTGCCAGCAGATGCTTCCCTGACCAATGCATGTGTGCTGTGGTGCCTTTGAGGCTCCCAAAAGTCGATGCATGCACGCTGATCTCCCTCCTCTCTCCTCACCCACTCTCCCTCCTCTCCAAGACTACTTTCCTCCCTCACTCTCCCTGTTCCACCCACTCTCCCCACTCGTTTCTGCCCAGGCAGTGAAAGAGTTGTCCATCAAAGTCCGCAAGATATTTCTCGAGTTGGACGAGATGGACATGATGGCCGCAATGGTCGCGATGGCCGCGATGGCCGAGGAAGACGAGGAGGGAGAGGAGGGAGAGGAGGGAGAGGAGGACGAGGAGGGAGAGGAGGACGAGGAGGGCGAGGAGGGAGAGGAGGACAAGGAGTGGGAGGAGGAAGAGGAGGGAGAGGAGGACGAGGAGGACGAGGAGGACGAGGAGGGCGAGGAGGACGAGGAGGGAGAGGAGGACGATGAGGGCGAGGAGGACGAGGAGGGAGAGGAGGACGAGGAGCTCTACTTTATTTATCAGAACGTCTTTCCAGCGCATTACGGTGCGAAAACAAGAAAATTTTCTCTACATAGCCAGTGAAATAAGATGTGGGTTGGCAATAATGGCTGGCTGGGTTGGCCGACATTTTTGCGGTTTAAATAGTTGTTGACAACATTATTGAAGGTTCAATTAGTGTTGGGAACCCAACACAACCGGGAAGGTAAACCTACACCCCCTTAACAACCATACCTCACAGTCTAGCCTATGTATGTTGTAACCGGGTATGGGACCGATCGATTCGTCCCACCCGACCCGTTGATTGACCAAGGACGGGTACGGGTCCGGTCAGATCGACCGTGGAAAGACCCCGGAAAAGCTGACCCGACCTTGGGGAAGGATTGGAAAAGCTGACCCGACCTTGGGGAAGGATTGGAAAAGCTGACCCGACCTTGGGGAAGGATTGGAAAGCTGACCCGACCTTGGGGAAGGATTGGAAAAGCTGACCCAACCTTGGGGAAGGATTGGAAAAGCTGACCCAACCTCGGGGAAGGACCCCAGAAAAGCAGACCTGAGCGGGACTATACAATGCCTGTGACTTGAGAGGAGGGGTGGGTGAGTCGACCCGGTGATTTAATGAGTCAATTGACCCGCCTTATCTAATCATTCGTTGGCCAATTAATTCAAATCGTAGCATTTAAATCGCCGATTTGCGCAGATTATCAACATGATGCCAATATGGCAACATGATGCCAATGTGGCAACGTGGTCCCAATGTAGCAACATGATACCTAAGTGGCAACATTTGTTCCCTAAAGAGTGGTGGCTGCTGGTCCTTCCTGGCCGCTTAGCATACTAGAATAAGTGGGATGGGTATTACCAGGCCCCTTACCTGCTTCATTTCATTTCTCTCCCTCTTCCCCTCTGTTGTGTTCCTTCTAAGAAGCTTATCGTGAGGAGGAAGATTCAGCAGCAGCAGAAGGTGCGGCACTAGCTGCTTCAGCGGTTGCAACAGTAGCTGCTTCAGCGGCACCACCATCAGCAGCAGCAACACCACCATTAGCAGCATCAGAAGAGGCGGCAGCAGGTGCTGCAGCAGCAGCAGCACGAAGGGGGCAACGGGCTGGTGTTGTGGTGGAGATGGAAGTAGCACAGCCATATGTGTGTCGAGAATACTCCCTGGCAGAGCTAACCGAGGCCACAGGAGAGTGGGCTGAGGAGAACCGGATAGGAAGGGGCGGCTTTGGGGATGTCTACAAGGGATTTTCTCCTCACGATGGCAATCAAGCTTGGGCAGTCAAGCGAGCTCGAGTACTCACAAACGACTTTCAGAGAGAGGTCTCTGGTACCAGATTGTGGGCTGGGTTTTGAGAATTTTCAAGTGCTTGGTTACCCTAAACCCTAAACCAACTTTTGAGAATTCTTAATAACCATAGAGCTAGAGTGCTCACAAACGACTTTCAGAGAGAGGTACCTGAAGCCATTTTGTGAGTTCCTGCTGGTTGGTACAGCGTTATTGTTACGTTATTGTTGGCACCACATCATTGGTGGTACCAAGTTTTTCTCTGTACCACGTTTTTCTTTGTACCACAATACTTGCTGGTTGGATGGATGATTCATTCTCCTCTCATCTGTTCGCCACTCTCCCCATCAGGTGAAAGGGATGGCAAGCAAGCACCATCCGCATCTCGTGCGGCTGTTGGGCTATTGCATCGACTTTGACCCGTCCACACGAACCATGGAGCAAATTCTTATCTATGAGCTCATGCCTAATGGCGACCTTTCCAGCTGGATCGGCCCCCGTGTCTCCAACCCTCTTACACTGCAACAAAGGCTGGACATTCTGATTGGAGTGGCCAAAGGGTTGCAGTATCTTCACGACTTCAAGATTGTGCATCGAGATATCAAACCGGCCAATATTCTCCTTGATAAAAAAATGCAGGCATGCTAAAAAGTGTAAAGTCGGGTGCACGTAGAAGGAGGGTGTTCATCCTTATCCTTTTCTTGAATCATGTGTAGTCTTCAACAACCGAGCATAGGGTCGCCTTTTTAACGTAGCTTGTTCATGTTGTCTTGTTCGCATGTTGCATGATCATGTTGTCTTGTTCGCATGTTGCATGATCATGTCCTGTTCTCATGTTGCATGATCATGTTGCCTTGTTCGCATGTTGCATGATCATGTTGTCCTATTTTCATGTTGCATTATCATTTTGTCTGATCTCATGTTGCATGATCATGCTGTCCTATTCTCATGTTGCATGATTACGTTGTCCTATTCTCATGGTGCATGGTCATGTTGTTGTTGTGGTTGATGTTGGGCAGGCGAAGATAGCAGACTTTGGGCTCCTAAAGCTGTGTGGAAGCACAGCTATGGCCGCGTCTGTGCCTTCCATTCGAGTGGCGGGAACACCAGGCTATGTGGACCCTGAATACTGCAGGTCTCAAACGGCCACTCCAGCCGCAGATGTGTACAGGTGAGTAAATTGGCACAGCACAGGTAAGCTCATTGGTGCAGGTCTTATTTCAGGTGGGATACTGAGGCCTTCATTCAGGTGGGCTGCGAGGCCTTATTTCACTTGGGTTGTGAAGGGCCTTAATCCAGGTGGGCCCCGAAGGCCTTGGTTTAGGTGGGCTGCGGGGGCCTTGATTTCATCGACTCGAGTGTTTTACGACATCAAGGCCCCATGGCCTTGATTTCATCGACTCGAGTGTTTTACGACATCAAGGCCCCATGGCCTTGATTTCATCGACTCGAGTGTTTTACGACATCAAGGCCCCATGGCCTTGATTTCATCGACTCGAGTGTTTTACGACATCAAAGCCCCATGGCCTTGATTTCATTTCATCGACTCGACATCGAAACGAACCCCATAGGTCAGGTAGGTCGGAGCTTTACCGTTACGTCAGAGCAGCATTTCTTAATGAGCCATCTTGAACGATTCTTCAAACAGAATCAGAACATGCGTAACAATTTTCGGTTCTTGCAAAGCTTCGTTAGTACATGTTCTTGTGAGGATGAATGTAATTTTTCCATCCTAGCTGCTAGAGGTGTCACAAGTGAGCGCTGTTTCCTGGATGATGTCCTTTCTTGTTGCCTGGCTCATCAAAGGCTCAGAAATTCTCAGCCACTTAACAATGGGGGTTTCGGGGCAGCTGCTAGAGATGTCACACGTGAGCATCGCTTCATGGATGATGTCCTTTCTTGTTGCCTGGCTCGGCTTGCAGTTTTGGCTTGGTGATGCTGGTGGTGCTCACGGGGCGCAAGGCTGTTCTAGTAATAGATGGCAAGGAAATCCACATCAAGGAATGGGTGAGGCACAGCTCATGATGGGTGGGGCACAGCTCATAATGGGTGGGGCACAGCTCACAACGGGTGGGGCACAGCTCACAACGGGTGGGGCACAGCTCACAATGGGTGGGGCACAGCTCACAACGGGTGGGGCACAGCTCACAACGGGTGGGGCACAGCTCACAACGGGTGGGGCACAGCTCACAACGGGTGGGGCACAGCTCACAACGGGTGGGGCACAGCTCACAACGGGTGGGGCACAGCTCACAACGGGTGGGGCACAGCTCACAACGGGTGGGGCACAGCTCACAACGGGTGGGGCACAGCTCACAACGGGTGGGGCACAGCTCACAACGGGTGGGGCACAGCTCACAACGGGTGGGGCACAGCTCACAACGGGTGGGGCACAGCTCACAACGGGTGGGGCACAGCTCACAACGGGTGGGGCACAGCTCACAACGGGTGGGGCACAGCTCACAACGGGTGGGGCACAGCTCACAACGGGTGGGGCACAGCTCACAACGGGTGGGGCACAGCTCACAATGGGTGGGGCACAGCTCACAATGGGTGGGGCACAGCTCACATGAGTCCAAGTGCGCTACACACAGAGTAGGATTGCTTGCTTACAACCTTGGCCTGAATCATGTAGTTATCCTGTCTTCCTATCACCACAGGGCACTTGCCGTATTGAGCAAGACGTGTAACGATGATAAACATTTACCTCTTGCCTCACTCTGTACCTATCGCACATTGAGCCTTCTGTTCCTTCTATTATCTACCTTCTTGCTCCCCGCCCTTGTGCTTCAATTCAATTCACAACCCTTCTGTATAACGTGTCCATTCAACCTGGCAGGTGACCCCACTGGTGGACTCAGGAGCAGTGGCAGAATTCAAGGACCCTCACTTGGAAGCACCGGATGATTTGGTGCTGCGCTTGGCTCGCCTTGCCCTCTCCTTCACTGTGCCTGCGTCCTCCCGCCCCTGTATGCTCCACGTGCTGGGAGAGTTGGTGAAGCTGAAGCAGGAGGTGCTTGAGGTGCAGATGAGCACGTCATCTTCTTCCTTGGACGTGGGGACCGGAGATTCTTTTGGCTCATCTAGCCTTGTTGTTGAAACGGGCTCTGAGGAGCAAAGGGGTATGTCGAGTGGTTCCTCCTTTGCTCCTCAGAAGCCTGTTAGCTTCTCTAGCATCTCGTCTGAAATGAGCCCTAAGGAGCAAGGGGTTATCTCGAGTGGATCTCTAGCTTCTGATCCGCAACACCAGTCTGCTAGTAGCTTCTCGAGCCTCGTTGTTGGGACTGGGCACTGAGGGGAGCAATGGGGGATGTACAGTGGCTCCTCTTTTGAGGCACCTCGAAGCCCTGGTGGCTCCTCTGGCCTCGCTGCCAGGGCCTTTGTGAAGCAAGCGTGTACTTACAAGGCTCCTTGTTTGAGGCGCCTCAAAGCTTATTAGCTCCTTTGGCCTTGCAGTAGAAATGCCTCATGGCGAGTAAAGAGGCATCTACAGTGGCACTTGAGAATTCTAAAAAAGCACCTGCACCGACGGATGGGAGTGGTTCTCCATAACCCTAACTGTCTGTACCCCATATAGCATGATGTCAGATTACAATTGTATCTCTAGGCTACAGTAGGGTCACTCCTTAGTGAGCACAACACTTTAGGGTTAGGTTTCCCCTACTTGTACTCACCTCTTGCCTAGTTCAATCATTCATTTCCTAGTTCTATTCTTGACATGTTATCAGAGTAGGAACCGTTCCTACATGGGCCCACCGTTCCGCCTAGTGGTAGCGCCACGCCCTACACATTAGCTAGCGCGCTGGCGCCCCTAGCTCTCACTGTCGCGACCCTTGCAGCCCGTGCGCTGCCCCTGCGACCGCGCTGCCCCTGCAGCCGTGCTCGCCCCTACGACCGTGCTGCCCCTGCAGCCGTGCTCGCCCCTGCTACCGTGCTGCCCCTGCAGCCGCGCCTGCCCCTGTGGCCCGTGCGCTGCCCCTGCGGCCCGTACGTCGCTCCTGCAGCCCGTACGCTGCCCCTGCAGCCCGTTCATGCTGCCCCTGCAGCCCGCGCGCAGACCTACCGATCCGCGCGGCCCCTGCAGCCCGCGCGTCGCCCCTGGAGCCCGCGCGTCGCTTCTGCAGCCCCTCCGCGCGGCCCCTGCAGCCCGCGCGTTGCCCCTGGAGCCCGCGCGCCGCCTCTGCGGCCCGTTCGCGCCGCCCCTACAGCTCGCGCGCGGACCTGCCGAGCCGCGCAGCCCCTGCAGCCCGTACGAGCTGCCCTTGCAGCCAGCGCGGCGCCCCTGCAGCCCGCGCGTCGCCCCTGCAGCCCGCACACCGCCCCTGGAGCCCGTGCGTCCTGCCCCTGCAGCCCGCGCCCGTACGCAGCCCACGAGTCGCGCGCTGCTGCCTCGCGCGTCGCGCTCTGCTGCAGCCCGCGCGTCGCGCCCTAAGGCAGCCTGTCGCGTCGCGCTCTGCTGCCCCTCACGTCACGCACTGCTGCAGCCTGCGCCAGCGCCCTGCCCTGCGCACGCTGGCGCCCTGCCCTGCGCCAGCGCCCTGCCCTGCGCCCGCGCCCTGCCCTGCGCCAGCGCCCTGCCCTGCGCCAGCGCCCTGCTATACCCGAAATATAATTAAATTGTTTATGAAAAAAAAAAAAAAAAAAGAGGGCCCTGGGTGCTTCTGCCCTAGGAGCTACTGCCTACTACTGCCCTGCTCTGGCCGCGCGCCGCCCTGCTGCTGTTACTACTGCTGCTGCTGCTGCTACTCGTGCTACTGGGAGTGGTGGAGGTGCTGCTGGGAGTGTAGGAGGTGCTGCTGGCGCTGTAGGAGCTGGAGGTGCTGGACCTACTCCTGACCGTCACTTTCTGTCATGGCCACTTCCGCGGCAGTTGCTGCGGCCAGGGGTGGACAGCAGCGGGCACTGCTTCTCCCGGACGACCCCACCCCTCGGCAGCTTCGTGAGTGGGTTATTCAGCGAGGTCGTCCTGGTGGTGGAGGTTATCGTTTTGTTAGAACTGCTGCTCTAGGTGCTAGTGAGTGTGAGAATGAGAACGAGAATGAATGAACTATGAAATGAAGTGAGTACAAATAGGAAACCCTAATTGGGTTGTACCCCCTATGGGATACCCCACTATAGCCTACACAACAGCATAAGCTATATAATGTTCTGACACACCCCCATAGGCAAAGTGGGGGAGAACAAGGGGTCACAAGACCAGTCAAGCAAAGCAGAGCAAGCTCAGGGTGGATCACAAAGTCACCACACAGTCCGAGCACAACGACAAGGCCACAAGGCCAGTTCACATGCAGGAGTACACATATATATATAGACCTAGACAAGCAAGAGCAGGTATATATATGTAACAGTACAAGCAAGGTCAAGAAGAGAGCAAGTGAGGCAAGACAGGTACAAGACCCAGCTGGGTGCAGAAGCGCTGATGGTCACAAGGTGCAAGTGCCTTGGTGAACACATCAGCAGTGTTGGCCTCAGAGGCCACGTAAGCAAGTCGCAACTGACCACGCTGCTGCAGCTCACGAGCAAGAAAGTAACGGAGAGCAATGTGCTTCGTTCTGTGCTCCAAGCGCTGCTCTCGACACAAGGCCAGCATGGCCTTGTTGTCTACGTACAGCACTGGAGGAGAACGAGGCGGCTCTCCAAGGTCAGTCAGCAGGTAGGTGAGCCAGCGAAGCTCCTGTGCAGCCATGGCCCCGGCGTAGATCTCAGCCTCACAACTGGAGCTGAGAACAGAGGACGAGCGAGTAGCCCGCCACGAGACAGAGCCGGAACCAAGACTGAAGGTGTAACCCTGCGACGACCGCTGTGTAGCCTGGTCGTCTGCCCAAGAAGCGTCCGCGTGCCCAGTGAGGACCACTGGACTCCGCCCTCCAAGCACTAGCCCCATGCCCGACGTACTGCACAAGTAGCGCAACACCCTCTTAGCTGCAGCCATGTGCTCTGGTCGGTGTCTCCCAGGAGCAACATAGCGTGCAAGAATGCTAAGAGGGTATGCAAGGTCAGGTCGTGTGCAGGTCATCAGGTACATGAGGCAGCCAACAAGCTCTGGGTACGGGCCACTCGACTCTACGGACTCATCCGAAGGCAGAGCTGAGAGCGAGTGGCGAGTAGACAGAGGAGTGGCCTGAGGCGAGGAGTACGTGAAGCCGAAGCGCTGAAGGACCTGCTGCACCATGTGTGACTGAGTCAAGGTAATGGTGCGGCGTGCTCTGTCCCGAGTGATCTGCAAGCCAAGGTAGCTGCGCAGTTCACCCAGGTCTGTGCACGTGTGTCTCTTCTGCAGCTCGGACTTCACGTAGGCTAGTCCAGCAGTGTCAGCTGTGGCAAAGACCAAGTCGTCGACGTACACGAGGACGTAGAACGGCGGCAAAGAAGTGTCGGTGCGCAGAAACAACGACGGGTCAGCAGTAAAGGGAGCAAACCCAAGAGCCGCAAGCGTAGTCCTCAGTGTGTCGTGCCACTCACGCGGTGCCTGGCGGAGACCGTAGACTGGCCGTCGGAGGCTCCACTGGGTGCCAGTAGGGAAAGTCCCAGTGAAGCCAGGTGGACGGCGCAGCCAGATCTCCTCGTGCAGGCTACCCTGCAAGAAAGCAGTGCTGAAGTCAAGAGAGTGGAGCTCGTAGTCGCGCTGAGCGGCTATGTGCAGCAGAACCCGAAGAGTGGTCATCTTCGGGGTGGGAGAGAAGGTCTGAAAGTAGTCAACTCCCTGCCGCTGACTGAAGCCACGAGCGACGTACCGCGCCTTGAAGACAGGTGGAGAGCCCGGCGGCCGCTTCACCCTGAAGATCCACATGCCACTGACGATGTTCGCCCCAGGAGGGGGAACCGCGTCAACGTAGGTGCCTGTGGACTTCCAGGACGCCATCTCTGCATCCATAGCTACCTGCCACTGAGAGGAGTAGGGACCCTCTACGGCCTCCGCGTAAGAGCGCGGAGTCGGGATGTCTAGTGCATCCGGGTCTCCCTCAGGGGCAAGTAGTACGGACGCGAGATGAGGTGAAGCAGCAGCC